TAAAGCCCCAGTCTGCAGTGCTGGCATCCCATATGAGTGCCAGTTGGAGTCCCTGCTGCTCCTCTTCTGATCCAGCTCTCTGCTATGGCCTGGGAAAGCAGTAGAAGATGGCCCAAGTCCTTGGGCCCCTACACCCACATGAGAGATCTACAAGAAGCTCCTGGATTCTGGCATCAGATAAGCACAGCTCCAGCCATTGCGGCCAATTGGGGAGTGAACCAGCGGATGAAAGACGACCTCCCTCCCTCCCTCTCTCTCTACCTCTCTGTAACTCTGCCTTTCAAGTAAATAAATAACAGAAACATCTGCACAATTATGCTCACCACAGAATTACTCACAATAGACAAGATATGGAATCCCCCTAAGTGTCCATCAACAGATGAATAAAGAAAATGTGACATATCTATCACATTCATAGACATTAAGAAAAATATGAATACTATTCACACACTTTTTAAAAGGGAAAAAAATCCTGTACACATGACAGTATGGACGAACCTACAAGACATAGTAAGTGAAATAAGCCAGGCGCAGAAAGACAAACACCACATGATCTCATTTATACATGCAATCTAAAAATGGTGAACTCACAGATGCAGAGAGTAGAATAGTTACCAGGGCAAGAGGAAAGGGTAGGGGAGATATTAGTCAAAGTCTACAAAACTTTAGGCAAAAGGGAAAATTTCCAGAGATCACAACTTGGTGACTATAGCTAACTACAATGCACTGTTTACTTGAAAATCATTGAAAGTCAATAAGAAGTGTTCCAACCACAAATAAATGATGTGAGGTAATGCATATATAAGAATTAATTAGCTCAACTGAATCATTTCACTGTATGTACATATATATTTCAAAACAAAATGCTGAATACTAAAAATATACGCAACTTTTATGTTAACTAAAAATACATTTTTAAAATTTAATGTACACTTCCCAAACCTTGACCTCCCTGTATTCTTATTTCTCAGTATTCTCATAAGACAGTAGGAGGTCAGCCAAGGACAGGATCCACACTCATGGATGGGCTAGCATGTTCTCCATGTCCTCTCTAGCCCTGTGCTATAATTTCTTCCATACAATTCCTGTGGCTCTTGTCCAGTCTTCTTCTACCACTTTCACACCATCTTGTGTTCCAGTTGTCGCTCCCCCATTCACGGAGGAACGACACAGGACCCTGCACTGTTCTTTTGTCTGCTCGGCCCTTCCCGGGTTTGCTGCTGGTCCTTCCCGGGTTGGCCGCCAATCCCTCCACCTCCGTGGAAGGGCGGCTCCCCCTGCCACTTTCCCCACTTCCGTAGAGGAGCGGCACACCACCGGCCGGCTCTCTCAGGGACTGCTCAGATGTTATCCGGATGTTCCTGGTGCATGTTGTCTCTCTCCTCCTTTATAGTCCTCTTCCACCAATCCCAACTCTGCTGCCCACACACTGAGCACGCTGCTCTCCTCCAATTAGGAGCAGGATCAGCTCCTGCAGCTCATCGATCAAGTTGGCGAGAGGCAGCTGTGTAGAAGTTGTTTACTCCCTTTCAGCGCCATATTGTGGGAGAGCAGATGCATAGAATAAGTCTTAATTCCAGTAACTTAGTCTAGTCCGAGTTGCTCCCCACATCCAGTCTTCTGTGAACTATCAGGTTGGAAGGCCATAAGATAGCCATATATATATATAATTTAATATAATTTAATCAGGGCTAGTGCTATGGCATAGAATGTTAAGGCGCCGCCTACAGTGCCAGTATCCCCTGTGGGTGCCGGTTCAAGTCCCAGCTGCTTCACTTCCAACCCAGCTCCTTGCTAATGGCCTGAGAGGGCTAGAGGATGGCCCAAGTTCTTGGGCCCCTGCCACCCACATGGGAGCCCTGGAAGAAGCACCTGGCTTCTGAATTTGGCCTGGCCCAGCCCTGGCCATTACAGTCGTTTGGGGAGTAAAGCAGTGGATGGAGGGAAGATCTCTCTCTCTCTCACACTTCTTTCTCTCTCTCTCTGCTTTTGAATAAATAAATCTTTTTAAAATAAATGTTAAATTATTTAATCATTTATCAATTATTAAATTTTTAATCATTTGATACTATGAGCATTGATGTGCCTAATCTGTACCAGAGTTTAAATCTTGAAAGTGTCTTGTAGTCGAACCAAGTGGGCACATTTACAGCTATTTGAATAGCGCAGGCTCTACCACAGTGGACAAAATTAAGGAGGAACACACCAGGAGATCTAAACAGAACAGACAACAAATCCCAGGGGTTCTGCTTTGAGAGTGAAAAACAGCAGTCTTTGCCCATTTTTAATTTTCCTTAATTAAAAGCAATGAAAAATTACTCTAAAAAATTAGTTATTAGTGTCTAGCTGGGATGGCCACATATTTGTGGATTGCTTTGCCAATGCCAGAAGTGTCTGCCTCGCCATCACTGAGGAAGCTGGCCAGAGCTGCTTTGATAACTTTGAATCACCATGGCTATATCAAGTCAGGGAGAGTGGTCAGAGGTGCTGTGATAGTGCCCAAAGCAGCTGCCACCTTTACACACCTGTACTGCTCGGACAACTGATTTTCACTCTGGCCTGGTCAGTTCGTATCCAGACAGGTGTTGACCTTGGTTGGCACTGCCTGAGTGGCTGCTGTTTTGACATCAAGAAAAGGAGTGGTCCAGCTTGTGGACTCGCCCTTATCCAAGTTACTGCACCAGAGCCAGTTGTTGAAGGGCACCTTGAAAGCTCCTGGCTGGCCCCACCCCTGCCTACTGCCCAAGGAAGGAATTCCCTCCCACCCCCACCTCAACAAGCCAACCGACCTTGCTGGAGCGCTGCTTCCCAAAGCAACCCTTTCTGCTTTGAGGAGACCTGCTTGTCTTCTATTCTCCTGTATCAGGAATTAGAGTAAGGGTAGCTACCATTCAGTAAAGCTTAGGGGTTTTACATTTATGAGTTTATTTCACCCTCACACCATCGCAGCGACTTGGGAATTCTGCTCTTTTGTCAAATGAGGAATAGACGCAGAGGGTGAAGAATCTAGCCCCATGTCACACAGCTGAACAAGGACTCACTTGCACCCGAGTCTGTCTGGCCCCATCACTCTGTTTACAATCACTACACTGCATTTCCTTGTGTTTCAGCATCCACCTAACACCAAAGGAAAATGAGCTAAACATTCCATGTTAGCATCCTGGAAATTCCATCAATGAGGGAGGAAAGGGCTAATCGAAGCCACATCTAAGTCTTAATTAAATCACTGATTGTTATTTACTTCCATCAAATCCATTTTAGGGCTATTTTATAGGTAGAGTCACACACTTCCATTTCCAAGTTCTTGGGGTAGTGTTGTGAGAAGCCGGGGGGTCGGGGAGGGGAATCAATGCCACATTACCTCTGGGCGTTGCTTATAGCAACTTCACCGAAACTATAAAGTAAAATAGTTTTGAATGGTATGTCCGTATCTTTTCTTCTCTTCCTTGAAACACACCCCATTCATAAGTGGTTTAACAGAAAACAAGACTTTAGCAAGAAGTAAAATCAAAGACTCAGAAGAATGCCTTTGGACTAAATGAATCAACTGTGTTTTGCCAAATCACAGCCATACAACATCTGGGGCCTCTCCTGTACTTGGCGACTTTCCTGCCATATGAATCTGCATGAGAATCAAAGCACTTCTTTCATAGAAGTCAAAAGAGCCACACTCTGGCCAGCGTGCCAGGGACCATGATGTAGCCGTGGACACGCCCACCTAGGGCTTCAATTCAGGACCCAGAGACTCCGAGAGCCAGGAGCTTTCATTCTGGTGACCACGGTGGGAGCAGCCGGGTACCGGGCCCACGGCTCCAGCAGCGCCAAACAGAAGCATCCGAGCTCAACACCAGCAGGGCCTGTGCAAGTGCCCTGTGCAGGGCTCAGCAGCAGCAGCCGCGAGGGCTCACCGGGCAGGTTCTGCCTGTGTGACTTTGAACGTGGCTGTGGCTTCTCTCCAGTGTTCCTACCCAAATGCTGAGGCTGGCACCCCCGAAATTAGCAGTGACCCTAGCAGACGCCTCATATCTCTCAGAAAATTCTTTTCCTACCCAAGTCAGCCAGAGGCCTATTCAACTGCTTGTCTTGAAGATCCCTAGTGGGCTATGACATAAAAGGGCACGTTTACACTAAACTAGAGCAAGGGCACTGGCATCAGCCAGGCTAGAAGCCCCTGCTAAATCCCTCGACATCAGAGGCTTCTCCACCCTCAGATCTGGAAGAGCACAAGGAGGCCAGACTCTGAGACTCTCATCTTTCTTCATGGCCGCCCCTGAGAGCCTCACTCACTTAGGCAGAATGCAGAATCAGAAAACAGATAGGCCAGTGCCGCAGCTCACTAGGCTAATCCTCCACCTGCAGCACCAGCACTCCAGGTTCTAGTCCCGGTCAGGGCGCCGGTTCTGTCCCGGTTGCCCCTCTTCCAGGCCAGCTCTCTGCTGTGGCCAGGGAGTGCAGTGGAGGATGGCCCAGGTGCTTGGGCCCTGCACCCCATGGGAGACCAGGAGAAGCACCTGGCTCCTGGCTTTGGATCAGTGCGGTGCACCGGCCGCAGTGGCCATTGAGGGGTGAACCAAAGGAAAAGGAAGACCTTTCTCTCTGTCTCTCTCTCTCACTGTCCACACTGTCTGTCAAAAAAAAAAAAAAAAAGGAAAACAGATAAGCTTTAAGCATGAGACCATGGTTCAAAGCTCTTCATTCATTTTCTATTATACTGAAATGTGAATCTTACAGAACTCCAAGTATATTTAGTGGCACATAAATTTCTTCTCCAAGCATCCTACAACAAAATATATTAATTTACAGAACTGAAAGCAAGGGTGATTGTCAGTGCAGGATAGAGAAATGAGGGATGTGTGATGCACACATTTCTTTATCTAATTTTGTATCAGAGAGATACCAAAACACAAGCACTTGAGATAAACGCCTTCTAAGCTTCTAAGCTATTTTAAAATAGGACCAGTCGCTCATCTCTGGAGCAGAACATGGGAACGGGTACAAAGATGTCCGGCTCAGAGGACTTCCTTCAAGGCAAATATAACAAGACATCACAGAGGAAAAGAACCATATTCACTGATGAACAGCTTGAAGACTTGAACATCTTGTTCACTAAGAACCCGTACCCAGACCGTGAACTGCAGGTAGAGGTAGCCTCCAAAATGAACATAGACCCCACGGTGGTGCAGGTCTGGTTCAAGAACCACAGAGCAAAACTCAAGAGAGCAAAATGCACTCAAGTTCCACCCCCACAGGAAGCTCAGCACCAGAGACCCCTGGAGGACCCAGTCACACCCGACTCCTTCCAGGCGCCAGTGGAAGCACCAGCCAGATACCCTGAAGACGCCTACCCCCAGGGCCTGGCTTACCCATACCACGTGGCGCCCTCGCTGCACCTCAGCATCTACCCCAGGCTCAAAGTCCCCAGGGACCCCTCTGGAGGACACCAAATCATCCACTTCGGCTGCTGTCAAGACACCACCATATAGAACCTCTACCCGCTCTGGGACCCCACGGTGCAGCCAGGACCCAACTCTGCCGCTGCCTCTTCCTTTGCACAAAGCATACAGAACCAGAATGATTTCCAGACACAGAAATAACTTCCAGCCATAAAGAACAAACAACGATATGGTGGCTGGGTTTCAAAAACATCCCGGGGCCAGTGCTGGGGCTCAGTGTGTTAAAGCCCTGGCTTGCTCCAGTTCGAGTCCTGGCTGCTCCACTTCCATCCAACTCCCTGCTAATACACCTGGGAAGGCAGCAGAGGACGGCCCAAGTCCTGAGGCCCCACATCCATGTGGAGGCCTGGAGGAGGCACCTGATTCCTGGCTTCAGCCTGGCCCAGTCCCAGTCATTGTGTCCAATTGGGAAGTAGACCAGCAGATGGAAGACTCTCTCTCCTTTTCTCTTTCAAATAAGTAAAATGAATCTTTTAAAAAAAAAAATAGGACCAGTCTTTGTAAATCTGGTCCAGCAGGGGTAGGGAACATCTGGCCTGTGTGGCATATAAGGTCTATGAAATCATGCGAACTAGGCCTCCAAAGGTAATGGCAGGTGGGACTTCAAATTCAATAAATCTCTATCAAGCTAATTGCTAAGATGATCATTTTCTATGGCCCATGAATGATTTTATAAATATCCAAATGGTCCTTGGCAGAAAAAGGGTTCTCAACCCCTGTTACAGGATACCTGGAAATCTCTCTCTCTCTCTCTCTCTCTCTCTCTTAAACACACACCTTATTTTAAAAACAAGAAAGGTATATAATCATCTATCCTATGTGGTAAAGCTTCAAGAAAAGCAAGGACATAAGAAATCCACATTTCAAGGAGTGTTCAGAGAAGAGACTGAAAGGATAATGTCTCATATTCCATAGGCGAGCCAGGGACACACACAGTGTTTACTGTTGTTATTATGCTGTAAACTACACGATGTAAGCTCTTGACTCTGACATAGTTCACCATGGAAAAGCTAAAGAAAGGAAGGAAACACAGGATGAAAGAAAAAAGGGCCACATTTCGATAGCATCTTTGTCCAGCCCACTCAATGGTTGAAGCCATGAATAAACAGCACACACACATCCCTGGATCAAGCACATCATCCTGCCGTTGTCTTAGGGAGGAGGATGGAGCCTTCCTCATCCTCACTGCAAGAGCACTGAGGAGGTAGGGGCTCCACAGCTGATAATGACGTGTGGGCGAAAGTGATCACGCCACATTGATTGGGATCACCATCAACCACAGCCCGCAGCAGCCCTCACTCCAGGCCTCACTCAGGAGTCCCTACGTTAAACGTGAGCTCTGGCTAATTGTTCCTCTTAGCAGACGCTTCCCAGGAAACTCCAACTCTGCTGAGGCCCCTCGTGTTTTCCCAGCCCTGCTTGTTAACAAAACATTGAAATGCTTCCCGGAACATGTTTGCAGCCTTTGCCTCAATCAATAGATCCATCTAGCCCCATCCTCTGATCCAATCCGTCTTCCCCTCTACAACATCTTAATGAGAAACCCAGAGAGCCTCAATCTTCTTTGTTAACCTTTTTAAAACCTGCAAAATGAGTGTCAATAAAATCCAAACAAGAGTTTCTGAAAGTGTGGAAGAAAACACAAAACTAACTCCCAATCAACCAAGTGTAAAAGAACGCAAGAGCCAAGACAAAACTTAAATTGGAGTTGTAGTTTTGACAGCTGGAAAATATAACGAATGACTTCAAATACTGTCTTTGAGAGTAGATGATGGCAGGAGCTGCTGGTGGCAATTATTTCTTTGTTCCAGAAATGCCTGAAAATAGCAATGATATGAGGACAATAATTCCATCCACAAACCCAGGGGCAAAGAACACTGAACTATAATAGCAAGCAATGCCGGCAGAACATCCCTAAGATATGCGTGTGACATTCTTACCAAACAAAGTATGAATTTTGACATCCAAAGGTCTTATGTTCAAATCTCGGCTCTGCTACCTTCCCCTCGGAGTCTCACTCTCCTTATTTGTGCCATGAAGATGATAATGTCCACCCCATGGAAGTGCTGTGAGGTTTGCAGGAGCTAACATATGTGAAACGTCTATGGGGTGGCCGGCATATGGAAGGTGCCCAAGAATTGTTGGCTCCCCTGTTCCCCGACAGGCATACAACCACAAAGAGCTATTCCACTGCTAACAGCTGTGGGCAGGGCCAGTCTCACCAGACCCATAGCTTCCTGGCAGTTCATGGTTGAATGTCTGCATGCCGGCAAATGCCCTGGAATCATTTTCCACAACACACACAAGCCCTCTCTGCTTGACGTCCGGTGTTGAAGGTCACGTTTACAGTACCCAACTGGCTTCACTCCAGATGAACTTGTGTTGAGGCCTAACATGCAGAATTCCTAAGTAATTTTTCTAAGCCAGATTGGCTTCAACCAAAACCAGGACACAGTCCTAAGAATGTTACCACAGGTCTTTATAATCAGACTCCAAGATGCTTCCTGCCTGCTTTTCCAGTGCTATAATCCCTACATTATCACCTTCCAAAGCCCTCATGCTGCCCCCATGCCTCACCATGAAAACATCTGTCTAGTGTTCCACCTATAGAAAGACAAGTCAAACCATTCATAAGAGATCCATTCTAAGCCCCTGCCCTTGAAATAAATAGGAAAACTGAGGCCCCGAGGCCCAGGGAAGGGATGCCAGGTGCTGGCAGAGCCAGTCTGCAGGCCAGAACCTCCAGCTCCCATGCCAGTGCTGCTTGCACTCAACAGCGCCACCCTAGATGGGAGGCTTGGCAGCTAAACAGGGGCGATGGCACACGAGAGCCTAGTGTATTCCTTCTCCAAAGTAATATCTGCTCTTAACAGGAACCTTTTGCTGAATAGAGTGAGCAAGGCCTAAATTTCAAAACAGCAACCAGGGCCAGTAGGGAGATATTTGAGGTTGAACAACAGGCTTTTGGCCTTCCCCAAATCATTCCACTCACACTCCCAGAAAATGTTCTGCAGGTGAAGGAAAACGTGACCTACATCCCCCCATACGCGTGCATATTCAACCAAAACCTGCTGAATGTGAACGTGCACAGGGTCAGTGCTGCAGGCCTGGAAAGGATGACTCCTTCCCCTTTATTCAACATTCTGTGAGCCAGGTATTGCAAAGCACTCTATTTGCCATATCTGACTCAACTCTCACAGCAATCATCTGAAGCCAGTATCACGTTCCCTCTTTTACAAATAGAGAAGGGAGCTAATAGAATTTAAGAAAATGCTCATAGTCCTGGAGTCAGTACGTAACAGGAGCTGGAATTTGAGCTCAGCTTCTTCCAGTCCAAATCGCATGCTTTACCTCTACCTGGCGCTGTAGCTCCAGCAGGTGCACAGTTGATCTTTGTCAGAGAAATGTTGTGAAACTCACACAAGGAAAAAGCATGGGAAGCCATCAGCACAGTGCTTGGCGTACTGTAAATGCTTTCTCTTTTTAACATTGGCTGGGACAAACCATTTTATAAAATTTTTGTTTGGTCTGGAACACAATGACTCTTTGGTCTGTAGTACTGCTATAAATGCCAATATTAATATATAAATGGCACAGCAAATTTTAGTGTGGAGTGCTCATTGTATTAAAACTGTCTGCAATTTTCCATGGATAGAAAAAAGATCCAGAGAGGTTTTCTAGTTCCAATAGTCTGATCAAGTTATATTTATTTTTCTAACACTCCCAGTCATCCAATTCTTTTCTCTCTCACTCTCTTTTTCTGTCTCTCAATAGACCCACAGTCATTCTTCATTTGAGTAGTACACAGTGAATGGGTGATGTCTAATAAAACCTATTGACTGCATGGCTAAAAATCATCATAATGGAATGTTGAGCATCCATTATTTTGATTGCAACAATGAGTTTGTTAACCCGAGTATAATTAAAACTAGAGAACTTCCCCTGGGATTGCATTACCCTGCTCCAACGGCCACAAAATCTCCATGGTGTCAGGTTCAATGGAACTTCAGAAGCATACAGCTTCCTGAGAAACACTCCATTAGCAATTCTGCAGCCACCAGCCACATGTGGGAACTGAGGACTTGAAATGGGATTATGTGTGTGAGGAACAGCAGTTTTCATCTTATTGAATTTTGCTTCATGTGAACAGCCACACGGTGCTGGTGGTCACGGTATTAGTACTGTTCTAGAGGAGTTGGTGGCAGGAAAGGCGATTTAAGGAGCACGTGGTGAGGGCTCAGTAGCCTGACATGGTTGTTTCTGGAGACCTTAAACTCCCCAGAATCAAATACCACTAAGAGGGTCTGGTCCATGTGGGAAAGAGACCAGTTGTGATGTCTTTCCTTTCTCTACTCCTTGGCACCCTTCAGGAAGCACCTGGGCTCTCATCAATGATCACAGAATGAGGGACAATAAACAATAAAGAGCCTGGGGAACCTCTAAGCCATTTTCCTTAAGAGGAGGCAACCAGAGTTTAAAGATGAAGCCATGTGCCCCTGGTCATGTGATGGAGGCCTCTTGACAAACAGTCTACCCTCTTGCAACTCAACTCAGCGCTCATTCCCGATAACCCACAGGCAAGCAATCCTGCAGGGGCTGCAGGGGTTCAAGAAACGGTGAGAACATTCCAGGGTACTTCAAACCCTGTATGGAAAATGGAACTGACAGATGTTTCTTTTAGTGCAAAAACAATTGAAATCCATGCATAAATTTCTCATAATAAGCATTTTCCATGAATTTTTTGGAAGATGCCATCCTATAAAAGAAACCAAAAGTAAGGTGCTAAGGATTAACACCCCTGTCAGGAAGAGGCATCCCCTCAGAACCAGGCATCTGCCAGTGTCAGCCAAATGGAGCCAAGCAAGAACATGCTACCTGAGCATTCAGTTTTCCCAAAAGAAGGAGAGTGGAGTCTGCAGCCCTGGCTTAACTTAGTTCTCCTCACCCTCCTAATTTTCCCCCATTTTGACCATCAGGAATAATGGCATTATAATAGAAGACATGGAAATTTGTTTAAAATTTGGAAGAAT